ATTTGAATATTCTTAAGATTTGTAGCAGTTTAACTGATAAAAGTCATAAAATTTCACAAGGAAGTCTTCAGGCACATTTTGTAAATCATTAATCAGTGGTAAATTTTGTTAACATTTCAATAAATCTGGCACTTTCGTTAATTTATGGGACATTTATTATGTTTAAAATTCTTTCAGAAAAATATGTCTTGTTTAGTTTGTTTTTGTTTTCTTTTTTTTAATTCTACTGTTTTCACAACTTTTATATTTTTCAAGTTAATATTTTCAGTAACTGTTTAAATTGTGTTCTCTTTCCTAACCACTATTAAATTTTGTAGCCCTAAAGAATAAAAATTAATTGCCTTTATCCATCAGTATAGTCCAGGCCGGTCAGCACACCCATGCTGTTTTACCTAGTTTGATATCTTCTTCTTCTTCATTAAGTTTATTTTAGTTCGGCGCCGGAAATTCCATATATCCGAGATCTCAGCGTCCATGCCGGTCCACTCTAGTAGTCTCATCAGGGTCGTCTTTTTCATGCCGATATTCCTAAGTCCTGTACTTTGTTTGGTGGAGGAAAGACAATACTGGAAAAGCATCAAGTTCCGTGATGGCTGCAAACAGGCGGTTGACATAAAACGGCTCTTGTTAGCGCCACCCTCCAGAGTTAGTCACAACAGGTCAACCAATCACCTCTGGTACTTGAAATGACTTGACCTTGACCTGCAGTGTGCCTTCTCCATGATGTGCACGCCTCTGGAGGGATTTGGAGAAGAGGTTTGATACTGTTGGCTGGCTAACTCTTGTTATATCCCAAAAATTGATAAATGGATTGTCCCAAAATTGATAAGTGGATTGTCCCAAAATTGATAAGTGGAATGTCCCAAAATTGATAAGTGGATTGTCCCAAAATTGATAAGTGGACTGTTCCAAGATTTATAATTGAACTGTTCCAAAAATGGAAGCAGATAAAGTGCATTTAAGAAATTAACAGTTTATTGTATTACAAGCAATTTACAGCTGAAGAAAATCATATCTATCCTTAGGTCCTTAAATGTATTTTTTTCCTGAAAGAACTGTTTTTTTCCTGCTACATGTACTTCAATCAGGTTTTGATGGTTAACTGCACTTGAATATTGTTAGGACACTTAAATGTGCAGTATTGTTTCTTGAAGGATCTTACTTTCTACACCTACTTACAGTTGAAATAGCACTTTACTCTTTATCTTTCAAGCAGCACACCTCCAGATACATGCTAATTTTCATGAAAATTGAGAAAATGCATAATAAGGTAAAATATTGTGAAGTGAAGGAAGATAATAATTTTTCACATTGCAAACAGCAATTAAAACCCATATAAATCAACTAAAAGAAGTCAAAATGTGCAAAATAGCCCTTACTGCATTATCAACGCAGTAGAAATATGGTGAAAAATACTTCAAAATTGGTCAAAAATCGCACATTAAAAAGAAATTATTACTTTAATCTTGAATCTTTTACTTTCCCTTAAAATTCAGCACTTTTTTCTCAAATTTGATTTTCTTGAAATATCTTGGTTCATCTGGAGGTGTGCAGCTTTAAGCCTTTGAAAATAAAAAAAAATGTGGGAAATGGAAGTTAAGAATGTCTCAAAAGTTTGAAAACCAGTGAGTAAGAAAATTTGTTTCCAGTTCTCTACTTTGAAATACTAGATATAACAATGAAGCACTGGATGGATTTACCTGATTTCCTGTCAATTGTTTGGTGCCATTGAAAGGTATTTTCTGTACTTATCTAGCAACTGCAAAACATTATGACATGAGATGGAAATGAAATTTGTTTGCTTCGTTAAATTAAATAAAGCATAACATCATAAGTAAGTTATTATTTCAATCATATGAAGATTTATTTGTTATTTAACTCTTACCCTGCTGGAACCAAATAATAAATAGACTCAATCAGCTCTAAATAACGCTTTGCTGTTAGATCTGAACGTGACCAAATACGAAGACATTCGTATTATATGGTGACCTTTTACACAGCCAATCATTGGCAAACTTTCATGATTTTGAAAGCTAAAAATAGCTTTCTCGGGAAATCCGAATTATAAAGAAGGGGGAACATACATGGTCCGATCATCAGATTTATATGAAAGAAATAAGTAGATCTTAACTTAAGTCAGATTGAAATAAGGCTTTGCATACATGTATAGTGCAGTTTGACCAGGCTCAAGTTTTAATATTTAAGTTTCATCATGATATACCTAAATCTTGAATAATGAACAGTCCCAGACAAGTCAATGAAAAAGTTAAGCGGGTTCCGGAAAAAGTATATTTTATGGTAAAGTGTAAAGGAAACTTTCACTTTCTGTTACAGCTATTCATGATAGAGGAAAAGTAAAGTTGGACACATCTTAATTAGTTAAAAGAGTAAAATTTATGCTTAACTTAAAAAGGAAAGCTTAAATTTCTGTATAGCAATTAATGGTCTGGAAAGTAAGTTCTTGCATAGCAGGCTGGCATTTCCGTTAGTTTTACCCATGCCGGAAATTTCATCTGGCATGGGGGGGGGGAGGGTGCCAGATGAGTCGTGTGCACAATGTTAAAATGACTTCATTTTAGAAGGGAACTATGTGCTAAGGATGACAACATTTCGCCGTTGTTATTAAAGTCATACACTTTTGTAATAAAATACATGTAGTAATGGATAAAATGACATTTAATTTCCATGAATAAATATCTTACTGAGGTTAACCAATTTAAATATGAAATAATATGGCTGGAATATGCGAGAATTCTGTAAAATCATTAAGTTTCTGTACAGCAATTAATGGTCTGGAATTAGTAAGGTCAAACACTTGATAAGTTAATTAACTATTATATTTTCTAAAAGAGCCTTCAGCCAGAATAAAAATGCATTCATGTTATCAAAACATGTGCCTTAATTAATGTGTGTTGTAATCTAAGGAAAAAATCTATTTTTGCCTTCACACATCAGTTAGTTTCTAAGAATTGCTTTGAAAACTCTGTATTGGATTCCTTCCCAATGAATGATTTTACAGAAAATTGGAAGTTGATGTACTGCAATGTATATATTTTAAATTAGATGGTTGATGTTCTTAATTCAATGAGACTTCTGTTGGTAGATTTGAAAATGGTTGAGGATTTTGCATGCAGTTTATGCTTACAAAAAAAACACGAAAAAATATAAAAAGATTAATTATGTTTTGAAATTTCTTTTGATGTGCAATACGGCTTATTTTAAATACCAGATGCGCCTCTGTGCTCCTTTAAATCGGTCCCTTTTTGTCCGGAATTAACTTAGAAACAATAAGAGGTATAAATAAAATTTTTAGTTTTAAATTTCTTTTGAGGATGGGGCACATAGCCTAACTACCTGAAGGTTTAAGTATCCCCTGTTTTATTTTACATTTGAATAATGTACGTTAGCAATAATCTAAAAGTATAAGAGTTAACATGTGACCATGTAGGTAATGACATAATTGGATTATAATTTGATGCCTAGATATATACTTGCTAATTTGGCAAACCAATTAGTTGCTTTTGACTTGTTGGATCCAGACCACCGTATAAGAGCATCTGACTTTAGGATCATGGTTTTTTCATTCGTGAATTAAATAGGTTAAGTAAAGCGAGCTCATTGGAGTCTATCAGACTGTGTGATTTCGCACTTGGATTGTACCGGGGCGCAAACTTATTCGATTTTAGATATAGATCCGGCTAGAATTAAGTGCTAAAAAAAGTTCCGCATGCCTAATTTTGTGTTTTTACCTTGTTAAAAAGTTTTTATAATTTGAATGTGTCCAGCACTTTAGTAATCGGTCCCAAACAGTTCTTGTTTCACTATAATTTGAATGCGGTATATTAAATTAATTTTCCCAAATATCAAAATCATGACCATCACACTTTCTAGTCAAGTTTTAGGAAAGATTTTACAAAAACCAACATAATGGTTGCAGTCATCTTGGTGCAAGACCACTGCGCATTCACAAGTTTGCGACTTTAATGACAAATAATTTCACATTTGGAGGTACTTTTTTCAGATAACAAGCATCTAACATGTTGTAAAAAACATATTCATGACCAATTGAAATATGTGATTTAGAGTATTTTTGTACAAATATTATTAAGAGAAAAAAAAACTGAATAGACAGCAGTTGGGGTTGATCTGTAATTAAACCTCGCTGTTGTTTGAAAATCCAGGTGCTCTAGTCAGGAAGTCTTAAATTTCCTAGAATAATCCCAAGTGTTGAAAAACTGTGTCTGCTCTTCTCCAATCAAATTATTTCTCAAGTGTTAATATTTGTATATGTTTCTCTTTAGTTAAAGTTTCTCAAGCGAAATTGAAATGTTTGTAGACTTTAGTGAAATATTGAGATCTTAAATACCTGCAGATTTTAAGAAATTGTCTGGGTTTATCAAACTTACACATAGTTATAAGCACACTAAATAGTTTTATATTCTAATACTTTGGTCGTGTGAGATAATATTTATTCTGTATTTTATATCTTATTTTGTTGATCAATGAGCAAGATTATTGTAATAAAGAGTTTAGATAAGTGAACTTCTCTGCAGAAAAGATTTGTTGGATCATCTTGTTTAACATTTAATGTTCATATAACAAGTTTACCTTTTGAGTTTTAAATGTCTTTAAAGAACTCCCGCATGGTTGTAAGAAAGTTTTTTTTCGTTCTTTATTACAAAATCTATAGTTTGTCTTCAATCCATTTCATTAAGTACCAGGCTGATGGTGAATTCTAAAAATGAAGGGAAAATTAATATAAGAAGTTCAAGCAAATAGATGGTACTGCTATAACTTCACAGAGCGCTGCTTGTTGACTGAGTTCTTTTCACCATAAAGATCAAAACCTGCAGTTTGATCTTGATTGAAGCAATTCATTTATTTTTTATCTTCCCAAATGGAATCATGTCACATTATGCTTACTATCAAGTTTAAGGTTTAATAGCTTTTAAAGTTGCCTAACAGGAAAAACGCAATTACATTCATTTTTTGCCTTAAAATAGATGTATAAATAAATGATGAACATTTCTATTTGTAGGCCATTCAAGAGATGGAGCCTGGGATGGTAGCCATTCATTGTCAGGAAGTTGGAGGAAAAAACTACGAGGCATCCATGCAACATGTGAACCAGTTTGTCAAGTATGTATAAATTTGTATCTTTATATAAAACCAGTCTTGTGCGAAAGGTACAGTTAAACTTTGTTGGCTCGAACTTGCAGGGCCAGTGCAAGTTCGTTCTAGAGATTGGTAGTTCGAGCCAACCAAGGTTGAACTATTATCACATAGGATATAGCCCTAAAGGTTTTCCAGCCGGCTGTCACTTATTCAGAACATGTTCACCTGCAACTATTGTTGTCTTGTTTGATCGAAAAGGTGTGATTTTCACTATATTTGTGCTGAAGGGACCAGAAGATCAGGTTTGCGAGTTTGAGCGATCACTGTTTGAGCAATGTGAGGTAGAACAATATATATTATATAGGAATTTTGCCGACACTTGGTGATGAGTTTGAGCGAAGGGAGGTATTCGAGCGATCCAAATTTGAGCGAACACATATTTAACTGTAGTTATCTGACAAGGGTTCCTACATTCACAAAAGTGGTCAACCCTTACCTTGTACAGAATTTATTTAATTTCCATTGTGTTTAGGAAGCTATAAGCTTTATTATAGACACATTCCTGAACCCATTCCTGGAACCATTTGGTACTAAGCAATTAGTGTGAAGTTTCTTGCTAAAGGAAACAACAGCTTGCTCCTGACAGGGTTTGAACCCACACAGCCATCAATCCTTAGATAACTAGTCTGATTACTTAACCACTTGGCCAGGCCGGCACTCATTGTAGTTAAATATTCCTTAACCTGCAGAATTTTTGCACTGGGTTTGTACAACTTAGGATAATTTAAGAACAAGTCATTCAAAGTTAAAAGGATTTCAATATACAAATACATTGAACCACCAACAGAAAAGAGTCTGATCAGACTGCAGGGATAAAGGCTGAGATAAGGGGTTATGTTAGTTTGCTGATTATATTACTAACTTTAAATGTGACATGTTGGTATTACAGTTTGCTGATTAATATTCACATGACATGTTGGTACAGTATTTAATTGCTGATTAATTGCTGACTTCACAGTAACATTTTGGTTTGAATCCTGAGTGTCCGAGTTGTAGCATTAATTCATATTTAGAAACTATGTAGCTGGCTTACATAAGCAATGTGGATCTTCTGAAGAATGAGGGTTTTGACTAAAATAATGTATGTGGATGTACGGAATATCTTCCCTGACCAGTGAATGTAGAATGACACCATTTAATCTATCCATTGTCTCTCAAACTTTCAAAGTCAGCCAATATTTAAGTGTATAAAGATATTATCTGCTTCCTCTTGTATATAAAATTAATTAATTGTTTGAATTGTGAATAAGAATTATTTCAAAATACTTGTATGAAAGAAATATTGAGAGCAAATGGTATGTACGTGCACAAAATCATTGCATAGCAGTTGAAACCCTACAAACATTTTATCCTGTTTACGTACAATATTCAGGTATTGTTAAATAACAGAGTTGATCGTATTACGATTATGGAAACAGCATCGTAATTTCACAGTTTAACAAATTTTATATAATGTTCCATCAGATGTAGCCTTTTTAAACCCTATGAAATGAATAAAAAACTATTTATGTATGTGAACAAGCCATTATAGATACCAGCATTGAACTGATGAGTTTCTACACTCGACTTTTGTTTCACAGAAAGCTTCTCATTCACACTTCCGTCTGATTTTGAAATGCATTTGTAACAGAGAAAATCAATATTTTTCTTCCTAATTCTCAGTATTTAAAGCAGTACGGCACCAGTTTCATGCTATTTTCTAATAAAATTTAGAAAGTACTCTAAATAGGGAATATATTATAAAGATTAAAGTTAGGGTTATCTATGATGTGATAGTGTAATATGAACATAATTGGCCCTCAATGTAGAAATTCAGTGATAAAACTACAACATACTTTATTTACTAATAGTTTGTATAGAGCATGACTGTAATACTTACATGAATTGCAAATTTTTATGGATTTCCAAGTCTTTGTACATTTTTCTGAAGTTTACTTGTCTTGAAGTATACAAAATAAATTGTACAGTTTTAACTTACATTAAGTTATTTTTGTCTTAATTGTTTTATGGTAAAAACATAACCAATTAAAAATCATCATAGACTAGGCCTGTCTTTACAAAATTTCATTTTTTTTTTCCAGACATGTAGTTTAAGATAAGTTGAAATATCTGTCATATCTATGCCTTAGTGTTTTTGTATAATTCTTCAATTTGCTGTTCAAGTTTTCAGCAATAATGTAATTATAGATTTGTTGAACCTGTATTCAAAGATAAGATACTGTTGTTTTTAAGTCTCATGCCAATTAGAGGCTGTTTTCTTTTAATCTGCTTGTGACAAGATGGAAAATAAACTTTGTATTCACAAAAATGTGATCACTGTTTTAGATGATTTTAAAGTGTTTAGTAACTGGATAACTGTTGATGATTGAGAAATTCTTCTTCTATTTTGAAGGAATAATTACAATGATTTTTTTGGCTCAAAGAGGAATGTTGGCATCATCCCCCTGGAGGGAAAAAAATCTGTCACTGAGGGAAAATAAGGAAAAGTTTGGAAACAGAGAAATGTTAAATTATGATACTTTTAAAAAAAATCACTGAATGATGATGTGTGAAAGTATGTTGGCAACATATACAAGAACATAGCCTTTCTAGCTAAAATGGGTAAAAGCCCTTGGCTTAAATTGGGAAAATTTATACATGTTTTATATTTTAGGTGATTTGAGAAATTTTCAAAGTATTATTTTTTTAGTCGAGTTCAACATGGCACCAACACTTTAAAGGACAACTTACCAGCTTTACTGGTGGAGGAAGCCTTCTCTAAGAATTCTTGAATAATCACAAACATCTAGTATACCAACATATGAGCTGCGTCATGACAAAACACGCATGGGTTTGCGACCAGCATGGATCCGTGCAGTCTGATCAGGATCCATGCTGTTTGCTATCAGTTTCTCTACCTCTTATAGGGTTTGTAAGCGCACAGCATGGATCCTGATCAGACTGCACGGATGCACAGGCTGGTCTGGATCCATGCTGGTCGCAAACGCATTATGTTGGTTTTGTCGTGACGCGGCTCATATATAAGTGTTATCCAAGCTGTTATAATTGACACCTGTGTACATTTGCACAATATCATGTCCATATTGGTACTCTTTGCGAAATGTACTGAAACAGTATCCTCTTTGTACATCAGTGCAGGTCATTCTCAGCTGAAAACATATTTGTGATAGTCAATGTTCAATCTTCAGATAAAAACTTTTATTTTGAAAATTTTCAGATAGTCTATAAAATGACTGCTGTTGTTTTTTCAGAGCTATGCTTGGAAGTGATGAGTTACAGAAATACGACCGAGCGCGAGTCTTCCTGGACGAAGATTACACGGCAGCAGATAAATTTACTGTAAGTCACTTTTAAATATTTGTTTTACTTTTATAAGTCAATTTATAATGAATAATTAAGTGTTGACAGAAGTGCATACAACCACTGAAAATTAGAAATACAATGTACAATTATAGTTTTATTGAAGCAACCTTGCAGCTTTAATATTTGAACTACTCTCAAGTTAGATTTCTGGAACTAACCAGTTTTGGTGTCATATCGGTAATCCAAGCAACATAATCATGACACTTTGGTCTTAAACCCACAATTACTGGAATGATGCATGTAGAAAGACACCTTATCCAATAGCCCACCCCATGCTCTTTATGATTTAATGGTGTAAACATTTCAAGAGTTGACAGCGAGACTGCAGTAACTTTTATGAAATAAAGAAGGATCAGCCAGACCTCGATGTATGAATTTCATTTGTGTGGGTTTCTATTTAATATGATGCAGCTTAAAGAGTAAACTGCAAGCTGGGACATTTTTATTATATATCACTCTTATTCTATTTGATTTATTTATTATTTCTCTTGCATTATCATATATAAAACCTTTCTAATTTGAAGTGTGTGGGTTGTGTTTTGATGTGTAAATGTTCTTTATAGGGGCATTATTTTGACTACCTTTCAACTTTTGCCATATACCATAATTAAGTAGGCCTTTGTTTTGACTGTGTGGAGTATGGCCGTTGCAACCAATTAAAAAATTGAGAAAGTGCCAAACTATTGTTGTTGTTTTTTTTTTTCATCCAAAATTTTCTGAAATAATCGGTTTTACTTGCCAGTATCCTGGTGATTTTTTCTTCAAAAACCCTTAAAATAAAATTTAATCTACCTAAGCAATTGTACACTTTAGCTTGAAAATTGAGTTGCTATCTATGGCCTTTAAAAGTTGTGTCTATGTTGTTTACCTCTCCTACTTTCACCTATCACAATCCACACCCACAAAGAAAAAAATCAAAATTAACATTAAAAAGATATTTGAATGGGATATTTAATTCATGCCTTAAAAGTGTGGGTAGTTTTAAGTGATGATATTTTGAAAAGATATTAATTATTAGTTTATAACGATAAAAATACTATCATTTTTAGCTCGACTTTTCTATGAAAAGGGGAGCTATCCTACTCGCCCCGGCGTCGGCGTTGGCGTCACACCTTGGTTAAGTTTTTCGTACCACCCCACTTTATTTCAGAAGTATTACAAGTATGGCTTTGAAACTTACCATACTTGTTCACCATCATAACCTCCATCTACAGACAAGAGTACATAACTCTGTCAAGGTTTTTGACAGAATTATGGCCCTTTTTTGACTTAGAAAGTGTATTGAGCTTGGTTAAGTTTTTTGTACCACCTCACTTTATTTCAAAACCATTGGAGGTATTGCTTTGAAACTGACCATACTTGTTTACCATCACGACCTTCATCAACAGACAAGAGGACATAACTCTGTCAAGGTTTTTGACAGAATTATGCCCCTTTTTGACTTAGAAAATACATTGAATATGGGTAAAATCCCCTTATTGCCTTAACCCTTTGAGATATTGCTTTGAAACTTTTAATGCTATTTCACATCATTACCCCCATCTGTACGCAAGAGAAGGTAACTCTGTCAAGGATTTGTTTTTAAAAATTAAGGCCTTTTATCGACTTAGAATCTTGGTTAAGTTTTTAGTACCAGTCCACTTTTTGACTGAACTGTTTGAGATATTAATTTGAAAGTTGGAATACTTGTTTACAATCATGATTCCCAAACATGTCCAGGAGAAGGTAATTCTGTCAAAGATTTTATTTGAATTATGGCCCTTAACTGTCAATGTTTTGTATTATAGGCAAGCACTAAAAAACTTAAAAAATCTAAAAAAATTCATTCCTATCCACTTGTTCACTTTACCATAAATTATGTCATATAAACATTGCTGTAATATTCAAGGGTATCAAACAACTAGTTATTTTACCAGTAAAATCATATAACTTATATTCAGTTTCGTGATGCTACACTGTGCTTACATACAGAAATTAGGAGCATTCGAAGATAGTGAGAATGAATGTGTTCAACGAGATGCCCCAATTGGTAAAAAATATACTCAATGTCACGATTTTCATGAACATTTAGCATGACATTAAATAATGAATTGAACTTCCTTCATGTAATTCAAATATCAGTTTTACAACGCATTATCTACATAGTGGACCCACGAAAAGTAACCAGTCACCCACAGCCTGTGTGAAAGAGATCCACTTGTGACCAACTGACAACATCTAAAAAAGCTTGATAAAATTTATCTATTACTTGTATTATAAGGTAACTATAATACTTTCACATACAAAGTCAAATCTATATATTATGCTGATTGTACAAAAATATACTGCTTCCTTGGCATAGATTTCTTGAAAAATTATGTTATTATGTCATTTACCAAGGTGTTCTGAGTGACGTAAAAATACCTTATTCTCTCAAAGTGGGTTTAATACTATTAAATTTATTTAAGGCTCAACTCAGTTTTTTTTTCTTTCTTACCAGCCCTCTTTTGACTTAAACATTTCAAACTTTGCTGCAGTGTTCAAGGGTATCACACAATTCAGTAAAATAATTCTTCACTAAATATCTTAATGCTCATGGCCATTGTTCACTTTAAAAATACAGAGATTCTTGTATTGCCTTTTACTGCAAAAACTTTTTTTATTGGCAAGCAATAAAAAAGTCGAGCGCGCTGTCTTACGGACAGCTCTTGTGTTGTCCCCTGTTTGCCTATAAATAATTTTGTCTAAAAATTCCTATAACAACTGACGATAGTACTTGAAAAATATGTACTTTTCTGAAAATCAATAATTATTTAACTAAATATTTTATGTTCCTCCATTGAAGAATCCAATTAAAAATCTTTGCTGTAATAAATAAATGATATTCTAGGTTATGATAATTGCCAATATTCTTGCACCCCACTGCCAGCTTACATTACCTGTGCTCTCACCTTTACCAATGTGTGTTCTTTTCTGTTTTTATACTTGAAATACAAAATACGTAGCAGTCTGAGATATGCATGTAAAATAATATAAACTGTAGTAATAATTCCATTATTTCTGTTTTTCAGGCTCTTGGGAACTTGTATTTTATCCATGAATGTGTAGAAGAGGTCCTCATTTATGATTTTATAGGTGACCTTTTTGTACAACTTTGACTGTGACATATTATTGATGATGAAAGATTGAGTAATGATGATGTGAAATGATGATCATTGTGATTAATTAATAGATTGATTTTAAGTCATTCTTTTGTTTGTTTCTTGATTTATTGATTGCTTGATTTAATTTAATTCATTGGTTTGTTCATATTTAAACCTATTAAATAATTCATTAATTGATTAATTAACAAATTAAACAATTCATTTATTCATTCAATTAATCAATTTAATTTTAACTATGTAAATGTTCATTTTCTGATTTTCAGAGTGTAAATTCTGCCCAGTAGAAGGCAGGGAGGTAAGAACTTTTTCCTTTAATGGTCAAATATTTATTTTGATAATCCTAATAAAAGTGCAATTTTAATAGAATGATATGAATATTTTTGAGATTATAATATATTAAGTCATATACGGATAAAATAATGTAGAGAGAGGACAAGAATGGTGATAAAGATTAACAGTTTGCACTTTTCCTGGTTTAACTTCTTTCATGTACTAAGTTAAATACTGCGTTATTGCAACAGTAACTTAATTAAATTGAGATTCCATTCTTGAAAGTTGTGTCACAGTCTACATTTACAAGCTAGGCAGACTGGTACAGAGATATTTGCGTTTTTCTGTGAGGCTTATTCAGTTTATTTGACATTGTCATCCATTTTCATAATTGATTGATTTGTGTTTGTATTTTTGGAGGGTAAATCTGTCTAGCGTTTATCTGTCTAGGGTTATTTATCTAGGTTATTGCTCTTTTATTCATTTCCGAGTTTTCAAACTTGGTTCAGATATTCACACAAGGTTAAATGTGTGTGTCACATGCTTGAAGTTTGATGATATTTAGAGTGAAAATGTTATTATTGCAGGGCTAAATAGATGTTGAATTTAATATATTTTGTGATTTTGTAACTGTCAACTCTTTTAGTAAGATACTGAGATATACAAAAAACTGTTTCATATGATTAATATATATTCAAAGCTGGAAGAAAGCTGTTTGTCCTAATTTGTTGTAGCAAGTGCTAAGGTCAAGGTTACCCATGACAGTCAGACGTCCTTATCATGGTGGCCTTATTATCAAGACTGTGTGAATCATAAGCTGAAAATCGTGTTCTGTGTTATGCAAAGAGGATGTCAAAATTTTTAGCTTGACTATACAAGTAATAGGAGAGTTTAAAGTTTACTCACCCTGGCATCAGTGTCACTCTCACACTTTGTGGGCTAAATCTTCAGAACCACTCAGAAACTTCACACACTTGTTCTCGTTAGTTATCTAACATGATGGGTCAGGTCCCAAAACTCTTTTAAGTTTTTTTTTACAAAGTTATATCCCTTACTGTTAAGCACTGAGAATAGTTGAGCACACTGTCTTGTTCTCTTTGAAGATATGACAAAACTCTGAGAAGTTATGCTCACTGAGAGAAGTTGAGCACTCTGTTAATGGACAGCTGTTGTTAAGGTTCCACTTCTAATTTGTGTATGTGTGTATGGGGAGGATATATTATATAGATTTTCTCTTGTGTGAGTGTGTGGTGGGGGGGGGGGGCAGATGTGTCCTTTGCCCACAGTTTTGCTTTACTGGGATCATTTCTGGGAACTCTTTCATACTAGGCATAAAACAGTTTTTCATATTTGTGTTGTGTGACTTTAAAGTCACTCCATAATACTGTACATATATTTCTTATACATGTATTACCTTAGATGATAAATGTATCTTCTTTTATTTCAGGTACTTTCAGGGAACATAGAAAATATCCAAATCAAGGAAAAGGCAAAATACCCACAAAATTTCTTCCCAGAATTCAAATGGTCACGGAAGGGCTTTCTGCGGACAAGATGGAATATAAATAATTGGTAAATACTATAATAAGTCAGGGTTCAGAACTGTTCACTATTTAAGGGAGAACATGTGTAAGCGTCCGGATAGCTGAGTCGGTAGAGCCACGGTACGGTATTCTGAGATCCCAGGTTTGAGTCCCGGTCAGGCCGCACATTTTTCTCACCCTGTGACACAAGTCCTAAAATAGTTAATTAGTATAGATGCCGAGGTTCGGTAAGATTTGGTTTCAGAAAGAAAGGGAAACTTCTAAAATTAAAGGCTTTCCGATAAAATTAAGAACTGATTCAGAGAGATATATGTTATAAATCCCTCTGTATATCACTCACACTTCACTTTAACATTAAATAATTTTCTTAATTAAATTCAGTTAACAAAATTACAAATGTTACATATTTCTAAATTAAGAAACTGTGGTATGTATATTTTTCACTTGGCATGTTTTTGTTAATTTGCTATATCTTCTCAGTGAGATATATTTGATATATTCTCTCATAAGTAACAAATGCATTAAAATGAAAAATGAAAATACAATATTAGTTCAGTATTGACAAGCCATATAATAATAAAAAACAATAAAAACAAAACAAAAAACTAAGAGATAATACTGACTTAGTTTGAGAAGAATAAATGATGTAAATTTTATGAGGAGGTCATTTCATATTAGCCAGATATCACCTATGTATAAACCTTATATTTAAAGGCATAGCTATGAAAAGTTTCGATATCTACAGACTGTTTTGGGATCAAACATTTTTCACTAGAGAGTTCTAACCATTTCATCTGTTATTTTTTTGACATTTGAAAGCATAAAACAGCTATTGATTCATACACATTTTGCTTACTTGGCATTAATAATGAATGTCTATCTGTTGCTAATGTTGGCAGTATTCATGTGATAAATTGTAGGGTAATGTTTTCCAAACTGATACTTCCTGATCCCCCCCTTCATCATCATCATCATCATCTTCAGTAATCGCCTCACTCTTCATAGAGCATAATCGCGATGAAATTAAAACTATGTACATGCGCAGCAATTGGTTTCCTCTTTACAGTTAAAAATTGTCTATTTACATCTATTTAAAAACTGGTAAAAACTGGCAATGTGTCTAGTTGATGGTTGTGTGTTTTGTCAGTGCCGACTTGAACCCCTCCAAGGTTGGTTTCTCAACAACTTGTATGGGTAGGCGATTCCAGAGGATGATGGTGGCCGGAAAGAAGCTGTTCTGGTACACAGATTTCTTACAAGTGAGCTGGCTGAGTTGTTGTTGGTTGCCTCTAGATGTTCTAGCATTACGTAGTGGGGGATCTGGTGTGACGTCTACAAGGTCATGCTTGATCTTGTAGAGCATGGTGACCCTTGCCATGTCTCTTCTCTTCTGTAGAGTGGTCCAGTGTAGTAAGCTTACCATCTCTGTGACGATGCTCCGGAGTAAGTAGTCGTTCTTGACGAACCGTGTTGCTCTTCTTTGGAACATCTCTAGTTGGTTGATGTGGCTGTCAGCAGCAAGTGACTATACAGAGGAGGCATACTCGACGCTTGGCCGTACATAGGTGTTGTAGGATTTGGCTTTTACATCTGATTGGCTTGACCGGATATTTTGGAGAAGGAATGCTAGGGTTGAGTTTGCTTTTTCGGTTATGTTGTCAATATGGCATTTTCAAGATAGGTGTGGTGGGATGGTGACTCCACGATAGTTGGCCTGGTTGGTTACGTTGAGGGTTTTCTGGTGTATTTGATATGGGAAGACGATGGGGTTCCTCTTTGTGGTAATCCGGATTACTTCACATTTAGCAGCATTGAACTCCATTTGCCATTCCTTCTCCCAGACTTGGAGACTGTCCAAGGTCGTCTTGTAGGGCACGGGCATCCTCCTGGCTCAATCGTCCTATCGAGGAGACAGTCATCGGCAAACATGCCAGTCCTCGACTTTACCCCTAGAGGGTAGGTCGTTGATGAAAGCAAGGAAGAGCAGAGGACCTAAGACGCTGCCCTGGGGCACTTCGGATGTGACAGGGGATGTGTGGGAATGTGAGCCTTCCAGGACCCACGCGCTGCGTTCTGCCAAAGAGGAATCCTTGGACCCATTTTATGTGTTGCCTCTGACCCCATAATTGTCTAGTTTCATCAGCAGTCGTGTGTGTGAGACCTTATCGAATGCTTTGCTGAAATCGAGCAGGATAGCATCTATTTGTTCATTTTTGTCAAGTCCTTTGACAAGGTTGTTCACAGTGGTGAGTAGCTGTGATTCACAGGAGCGACGGCGTCGGAAGCCATGCTGGGAGTCAGACAGTATGTTGTTGTTGTCGAAATGAGCCATTGATGTTGCTAAAGATGATATGTTCCAGGATCTTACAGGAGATTGATGTGAGAGAGATAGGTCTGTAGTTGGATGGTGTAGATCTGTTTCCTTTCTTGAAGATTGGGGAGACATCAGCTGTTTTCCAGTCAGCTGGGAGTGTACCACTGTCTAGAGAAAGCTGGTAGATTCTGGTCATGCCTGGGGCAAGTTCCTTGGCACAGAGTTTGAGGAGTCTGGTGGGAACTTTATCTGGGCCTGCAGCTTTGTGTGGTTTAAGTCCAAGGAGAAGCTTGAGGACACCCTTCTCTGTCACAGTAATGTCTTCATAATGGAATGATCCATCCTTGAATTTTGACAAGTTCATTATTAATTACAGAGATAACAGCAGTACAAAAGTAGAATAGACTATTGTTAAACATTTATCTCACTTGTCTGGCTATAGATATAGTATTGTGATTCATATAGACTGCCACGTTTTCCTAATTAAAGTGATATTAAGGAAAATATTAGATCCATACTATCAAAGAGCAGGCTATTTTCTGCCACCGCAAAATAACAGCTTTATATGAAGTTTTTTTTTCTCATTTGAGAGAGAGTGAAAAATTCAACAGATTTGGTGATTCTTTTAAAAAAAGAAATAAAATGTACACTGATTTGAAATTTAAGTGATTTGATATTAAGTAGTTATATTCATTTTCAATTTCAGCATTGATAAAATTTTGAAGAATTTTGATTAAAAACTTCTGGTCCATGCATACCATCAGCAAACTTCATACTCATGTATTATTTCCTATATTTCCAGTGTGTTTGACTTGATAAATATTCATCTTTTCCACGATGCCTCAAATATTGTAGCTTTACAAAAAGTAAGTATCTTACATATTCCTGAAAGGTTTTGATCCTATACTGATACTCACATTTGAAAGAAATATTTCTCATCATTCTTGAGTGCAAAAAAAAAAACCTCACAAAAGTACTCTAGCGTATATAAGAAATTTTCAGCTAGGGAAGGATATTATGAATTATTAAAATTTGTGAAGAATTTTGGTAGAGGGGTTAAGGTGGCAGACTTTTTCTCCCTTGTCCCTTACTTGTGCTGGTTTAATATAGTCTGTATGCTTTTCAGGAAGCTAACTGAAGAGCAGTGGTTCTTCTTTGGTGCTTGAAATAATGCAGGGTAGCATGTGAGGTCTTCCTCCACCAGAAAAAAACTGCCATGTTGCCAAATAACTTTAACAGAGTCAGTTTCAGACTGTTGTAATGTTCAACCAAAAATCCTAATAACTTGTATATTGATATATATAAATGAGCCGCGTCATGACAAAACCAACATAATGTGTTTGTGACCAGCATGGATCCAGACCAGCCTGCGCAGATTGATCAGGATACATGCTGTTCGCTATCAGTTTTTCTACTTGTTATAGGGTTTGTAAGCGAACAGCATGGATCCTGATCAGACTGCTGGTCTGGATCCATGCTGGTCGCAAACCTATTATGTTAGTTTGTCATGATGCGGCTCATATGTAAATATTGTTTTCAATTAAGGTGCTGTGATATTTGATATTGTTTGTTTCAGAGCCCGTCAGTTTACAGTGAGAATAGGTACAGAGCATTAGCACATACATTACAAAGGTAAATGTTTTATATAAAATTAATGTCTGACCGGTTTCTTTATGATAGTCACAAAAATAAGTCTTGTGTGTAATTGATAATTACTGTCACCACTTCAAAGCCGGGTATAGTCAGCCCACATATTTCAAACAGAGCGATAGACTTGTAATCTCGACATTGTGGGTTCGATTCCCAGGCCTGCCAACTAAAATTAATAATCAGCCTTTCGAATGTGACTTTTAATCCAGGTCCTGTGTATGAGTGGTTTAATAATTGGCATGTTAAAGAACCAGGTGAAGCTTCTGGAATTGGAGCATCTTTCTTTATCTGTATCATGCTCTATCCTCCAAAAATATAAAATGTTTAATACCCTTCCGGAGGACTAGCCCATATGGTAAAACTTGTGGTGAGTATAAATGAATACTCAAATAACTTTTTGTACTTAAAAAGTTATTTTGCCTTATAGCTACCACTGTATTAAACAGTATTGTGATAGTATTAAATAGATACTGGTATAGTAAAAATCTATTGAAAATTTTGTTTTCACTTGAACTCATTTGCTGAATATTTATATAAGGGTTTTTATGAGGGAAATTTTTAAACATCAGTGGTCATAGATGTATGAAAGAGGAAAACTTTTCATCTTGTAATACTTGACAGATCAGCTTTTACATTGTTCTTGAAGTGAAAATAAAACCTTTTTATTTAACATGCTAATTACAGGTTTGAAACGGATCAATTTGAGAAGTTCCCGTACTTTATATTTGGTGATTTCAACTTCCGACTAGATTTACATTCCCTTTTAAAGGTAAGAATTTTATATATACAGTTATATATTATGTGTCTGCTTTTAGAATAAAATAAAAAAGCAAAACAAAAAAGCATCAACAAACTTTGACCTTTTAACAAAGTTCCTTCTTGGTATAGTGGTGTGTGTTTTTGAATTCTTAAATTTCAATAGATTCGCTGCATTCTTTCATGTGAGCATTTAACCCATGAAGCTTGTTGAAGGTCAGGGTTTCTTTACAGATGCTTGTGGCTGAAATAATGACTAGATGAGCCGCTGAAATCTTTATAATAGATTCTGTAGGACATTGTTCGTAGCATTTAAACCTAATAAAGAAATGAAAAATTGTTAATTTCACTGGAGGTCAGATTTTGGCTACTTTATATTTTGAATCATTCCTTTGTGTTGTAAAGTGTTAAGACCTATATTTGTTTGTGTGATGTAAAACCCAACCAAAAAATAAAGCTTTGTATGACTGATAGGGTTAAACAGAGTTTTGATTAAAACTTCACAAAAATTAGACTATCTCCAGACTTCTGTGACAGGCATGTTGGAAATTGCTTGTCTAGACTTTGTCGGTATGTAAATAAATGTGTGAATGTGAATGTTTATGTAGCTTAGCATTTAGAATAGATTGCATATTTCTCTAGGTATGTTTTGTTTTTTCTTGGACATAAATTTTCAGGAGATGATTTTTAAAAAGAACAAATCTCTTCATTCTGTAAAAACAAAAAAACCCAAAATATTCAGTTGAAAACCTATAGATATAGCTAAGCTGTCAGAGAAGATTCTTATTATTTGAAGTTTTATTCTTGTGAATATGTTTTCAGGATTTAACGGAAAAAACAGAAGCCAATGAAATACGAGGGAAGAAAAATCAAATCTCAAAACTGTCTTATACTGATGCAAATAACAAGGTATTCCTTTAATAGTTCAGATAATTGATTTTACTGCTACTGAATTTATTTGAGTTTTAAAACATAATATATGTAGCTATTTTTGTGTAAGAAAGCTTAGAACTGCTTCTTGACCTTGTTGCACTTAAGGAACAAAGTTGGTAAGAAATCAACAACTAGGTTATAGAGGCAAAATCTCTGGCCACAGGTGTCCTTTTAATTTAAGTTTATACAAATTTATTTTAGTTTGATTGTGTTGGAAGCTATAAGCTTATTGGAACACTTATCTGGAACCAACCAGTTCTAAGCAATAAATGCAAAGTTTCTTGCTCAAGGAAACAAAGGCTTGCCCCTGACAGGGTTTGAACCCAAGCGGTCAGCACTGTCATTCGGATGCACATCATAATTATTATCACTCGGGGTTACACCCTGGTCATCCAAACTCTAAACAATGATTTAATTCAGCGATAAAATCACTGTTTGAGATATATTATTTCTTAATCAACCAATAAAGATTTTTTTTAAGCTGACTTTCATTGGCATGAACCCGTGAGATTTATAAATAACATCATTAATGAAATGAAATTACCTACAATTATTGATTTTCTTTTCAGGTTGTGTTAACCATAGAATCAAAGTATTTTGATCATCATGAAAAACATAATGAAATATTTTCCAATAAAGATAAAATGGTAAGTACAAATGTATATTCTTTATAGAGAAACAACAACATACCTTTGAATTTGTCAGATTTTTAGCTCGACTATTCAAAGAATATGAGAGCTATTGTAGTCGCCCCGGCGTCCGCGTCAGCGTCCGCGTCGGCGTCTGCGTTGGTTAAAGTTTTTTGTAAAGACAAATATCTCAATTATTACTTGAGATATTCAATTGAAACTTACAATACTTATTTATAGTAACAAGGTACATCAGATTGACAAGTTGGATAACTCTGCCTACAATATTGACAGAATTATGCCCCTTTTTAACTTAGAAATTTTGGTTAATGTTTTTTGTAAAGTCAAATATCTCAATTATTGCTTGAGATATTCAATTGAAACTTACAATACTTATTTATAGTAACAAGGTACATCAGATTGACAAGTTGGATAACTCTGCCTACAATATTGACAGAATTATGCCCCTTTTTAACTTAGAAATTTTGGTTAAAGTTTTTTGTAAAGTCAAATATCTCAATTATTGCTTGAGATATTCAATTGAAACTTACAATACTTATTTATAGTAACAAGGTACATCAGATTGACAAGTTGGATAACTCTGCCTACAATATTGACAGAATTATGCCCCTTTGGAACTTAGAAATTTTGGTTAAAGTTTTTTTGTAAAGTCAAATATCTCAATTACTGCTTGAGATATTCAATTGAAATTTAAAATACTTTTTTTATAGTAACAATGTACATCAGTTTGCAAAATTGCATAACTCTGCCTGCAATATTTGCAGAATTATTTGCCCCTTTGAAACTTAGAAATTTTGGTTAAAGGTTAAAGGTCTTCAAAGATATTTACTTGAAACTTTACACATGCACTTAGGGTGATAATTGGAGGGTCATAATTGTATGTCACTGACCAAGTTCCATAACTCTATCTTGCGTTAAGGCTGATTCATATCCCCTTTTCTACTTAGTCTCTTGGTTAATGTTTACATGCAAGTTTTACATATCTCAATAACTATTAAAGATATTCATTTAAAACTTCACATATGCATTTAGGGTCATAATTGTAGGTCACTGACAAAGATCCATAATCCTATCTTGCATTTAGGCTGATTTTTCTCCCCTTTTTCAACTTAAAAATTCATGGTAAAGTTTTGCTTGTAAGCTGTTATCTCAATAACCACTGAAGGGTTTGTGCTTTTTTTTGGACAGTTTTATGCATTCATAATAATAAAGCAGTGATTTACTTGATAAAACATCTTAATAACAAGCTTCTGTACCTTTTCTGTCAAATTTATGTATTCATAGGTAATTAGTATTATTATACTCAGTAAAACACCCTTGTGACATTACCTTCCGAATAGTCAAGCCAATACTGTATAATTAGACTCTCTCTAAGGCCATTAACATGAATTTATAAAAAGAATTAGCCCTTTTGTGAACTTAAAAAATTTAACATTATCAAGGCTCTTTTACTATCAAGCACTTAGAATAGTCGAGCGTGCTGTCCTACCGACAGCTCTTGTTAGCTTAGCCATTCAAAGATGGATGCATGGCCTAATCTTTGAGATAAGCATATGACTACTGGCAGGATCACCCAAGTAGCTTTGGCTTGCTACTTTCAGGCTCTTATAATTACCCAGGTGTGGGCATAGCACTTCAATTAATTATTAGGGTGCAAGTTGGTCTTTCCAAACTACTGAAGGGATCGGTTGAAACTAAACACACAGTTGTTCTCTGTGATTATCTTACATGATGGACACATGTCCCATAACTGTGAATTGCCTTTTTACAGAGTAATGCCTCTTGCCAAGCACTGAGAATAGTCGAGCGGCTGTCTTACCAGCAGCTCGTTTAATTTAAATAATTAGATAATAGATATCATTTGACTAATTAAACGTGTTGCATCTTACCAAAGTCCCTTGCTTCTTTGCAATTTAAATTTTTATTTGCAGTATGCACTTTTTCTTTTCAAGTAAACCAGGACATGGTATATAGTGATTTCCCATGTCCATGGCTATTTTTTTCTGAATTAAAATGTTCTTGACAGTTTCATGCAGAACAAATTTAGTAGTTTGTAATCAAATTAGACTGCACAGAGGTGATATCATAGCTGACCTGGTTTCCTGTAGTTTTAACTGATAATGTGTATATTGTCCAACTAAATATCTCGTATTTAGGAAATATTTTGTCATGTGCATTGATTTTTAACCAAATACTTGACTGTTTTAAAGTTTCATCTAAATTTTAGCTTTAGCAATACTCATATTGTTTTTGACTTTTTATTACAGCTGAATAAATATGACAAGGAATTAGATGCATATAAAGATAAGTTGTATGAATACAGTATAGACTTCCCTCCGAGGTAAGTCATTTATAGCTGCACTGTCCAGTTGTTGTGTATTGATAGGTTGTTGTTTTTACGTGCAGAGACGGTCTTCCCTCAAAGAAGTGGATAAGATCAATGATTCTGAACTGCTGACCACTCATTTGTGGCAGTTTGATATTAAAAAAAAAAGAAGAAAATTTTGCCTTGTGCTAAGAACTACATAGCTAGTGTGCAAAAGGGTTCATACTTAACATTAATTCTTTATAGGTCAACATGTGTTGAAATTAGCACCAGTCTGACTGCATAAAAAAACAAAACATATGAGCCGCGTCAAAACAAAACCAACATAGTGCGTTTGCGACCAGCATGGATCCAGACCAGCCTGCGCATTCGCGCAGTCTGATCAGGATCCATGCTGTTTGCTGTCAGTTTCTCTACTTGTAATAGAGTTGGTAAGTGATCAGCATGGATCCTGATCAAACTGCGCGGATGCGCAGGCTGGTCTGGATCCATGCTGGTCGCAAACGCACTATGTTGGTTTTGTCGCGACGCGGCTCATATGTAGATTTTATCTTGGGCTAGAAAATAGTTACACTAAAACTTAACAGTGAAGATATTGCTTATTCGCTAGGCCAACTTACTTTTAGATTTCAATCCTTATTTCTATGACTGCAGTAGTCTTTCTTTTTAGCTGAATTGAGTTGAGTTTGACATGATTTTCTTTATATATGCTGTAAGATCATTAAATTATAATTCAGTTGAGCGACATATGGCCATCAGGACATTCTTGTTTTATTTCCAGTTATCCGTTCAGTGAAGATGTTAGTGATGGTTTATCATACATGAAAACTCGCTGTCCGTCGTGGTGTGATAGAATTCTACTCAGTAACTCAACCAAAGACATTTTATACTCAGTAAGTGAATACTTGGTTTATTTTGAGTGGCATCTAGCTTGAACTATATTGTAATATGTTGTTATATACCTACGACATCTATATAAGCCATTATGCTGGCAATGTCATATTGGATCACATTTGAGCCGCGTCATGACAAAACCAACATAGTGCATTTGCGATCTGCATGGATCCAGACCAGCCTGGGCATCTGTGCAGTCTGATCAGGATCCATGCTGTTCACTTACAAACCCTATAACAAGTAGAGAAACTGATAGCCAACAGCATGGATCCTGATCAGACTGCACGGATGCGCAGGCTGGTCTGGATCCATGCTGGTCGCAAACGCATAATGTTGGTTTTGTCGTGATGCGGCTCATTTGAATAAAATACTGTCCTGTCATGCCATGTAATATTTATGCCAGTGATATATGTACTAAACATGGCAGAACATTTTCAGGTATATATTAAATACAGAATATCATATAGTACCCTTCTGAGACTTTGTATTTATCTGCAAGCAGCATCAGAAAATTGATATATACCTATAAATTCTAAGACAAAACGAGATTCAATTAACTAAATTTCTATTAAAATTCATTTAGTTCTTTCACAAACAAAAATGTAGCAGTCAAGAAGTAATATTAATAAATGACTGATGAATATATCATTTTTGCAATAGCGGCCACACCCTTAGTAGCACCGGTTCCCGTTTTCAAATACAACATGCATAATAAATGAATATATTTGATATTATAGGATGAGAAGATGAAGCCAAAGTATGACATCATCGGGAAAGATGTTTGCATGGGAGATCATAAGGTATTTTTACTTCTTCTGTTGAAATATTGTATAAGAAATTTTTGTTTGAAAATTCTTTCAAAATGCACTGAATAGGTTCGGATACAGGCTTTTGTTTTTCACTGTACATAAGTTAATTTAATGTTAAAAGCTCTTTTAATGTGAGGTGGTGACCTTGTTGCGTATAGGTATTGAAAGTAAGTGAAGCAGAATTATAATCTTTGTGAGTCTGAAATAGTATACAATTAACAAAATGTAAAGGAAATTTTAATCTTTATTTTAATGAAAAATGTCAATCTTATGCTTTATTTAATGATTTTCTGTTAATAAAAAACCTTTCTGACTAAATGGTTATAGTGCTGACCTTAATGATTTACCAGGGCAGTTTTTTAACCCTGAAACAGCTGAATTTGTGTAATGGATTTGCCCTGCTTTGAATTTGGAACAGTCCATTCAAAGTTTAAGGGATTTCAATATCAGAATTGAGCTACCAACAGTAAAGAGCCTGGTCAGACTGTACAGGTTAGACTGTATTGAAGTGTAGGCTGGCCTGGCTCTATACTGGTGGCAAAGGATAATCATCATTCATGATCCAGCAGGTCAAGGATTACATTGTTTTAGATGTTTAGAATTGTAGGTCGCTAAATTGGATTGCACAAGGTAGGTTTATGTAAATGAATTGTAGGATATTCTGAGGGTTGGACAACTTAATGCCGGTGCTAAGTGGTTTCCTTGAAAGGATAAATAAATGCTTCTTAGAGAATTTTTTTTTAAAGAATTTGATGAGATCTTTATTACTGCTTTTTAAGGCTTTATTGATGTTTAAAGTTGAAAGTAATTACATTTTGTTTGTATACAAATTTAATGCAGAAAATATGTGGACTGCCTTGAAAGAGGTCTTCTTTTTAATTACTTTTTATTATAATTTGTATGAATATTTTATGTTGCTGCAATGAAACACATGTATTAAATTTAAGAAAATTTTCTGAAAATGGCGAAAATTTTTGAATTTCATTGTTTGATAATAAGTGATTAGGATTGCTTACCATTCAATCACATGTTCTTTTATGATAGATCTTAATTATTTTGTGTGAGCAAAATGTTTTTAAGGTCTTTAAACCAGAAATAAGCAAACATTTCATGTCCGATATCTAGCAGCTATAATACACTAATTGACAGTCTATAAGAACTATGTAAATAACTGAGGTATATAGAGTGAAAATACGAGTTGTTTCCCTTATCTCCGTTAAAAATCGATATCTCTAAATAAATGCTAAAACAATACAAATTTAGATTTTAAACCTCTGGTTTGGGGCAATTTAATATCTGATTTTACAATTTATTACACCAATGAAAAAGCTTGTGATCTTGGCTTCGTCTCAGTATATATTACAACACATCATTTAACACTAAAGGTATTTAAATTTACAGTTAAACCTACCATAAGTCAGACCATTTTACATACGATTTATTTAATAAGATATGCAGCTGGTTATCTTTACTCGCAATTCTACTGATAAGAATAGTCTGTCGTCTGCTACTTCGGAAACTGTCAATCGGTGTATTACTCATTTGTGCTGACGACAGATTTTTGCAGCAAAATCTGCTTATCTTTATTTTAATAGATGAAATCCCTAAAAGTAATAATGGACAAGTCTGTAGTCAATTCAGGACAAATTTAGCATGGGTTAGGATAATGAAGTTAAAAGTTTCAGTCACAAAGTCACAGCAATTTTAGGAATCGATACAATGATGAATGTTTCATTTAAACTGTGTGTTGTTTTCTCTAAAAAGTTGATAGAATATTATAATGACCAATAATGTTTTCGAAAACATTTAATTTTATAACTTATTATTTTTGCCCTTCATCTGGATTTGTCCTGCTTTGAATTTAGAATTACCCATTTTAATAGAATGGGTTTTAATATCAAAATATTAAAGTTGTGTGGTCAGTAGTATAGAGAGGGATGTACTGTCTTGCCGAGCTCTGGTAAGATATAATTGCTGCTAGCGTCAGGTGGTTGGAACAATTTACAATACAACTTCAACTATATCCTGATTAAAATCACAATTTAGATTTAAAAAAGAAGCTTTTTTGTTGAGTAACTTTTATACATTTGCTTTTCTTTTTTCTTCTTTTTAACGCACTAGCCGGTGTACTTGTTGTTGCGGTTAAAGAAAGGAAAAGGTAAACAAACGCCAGTGTTTGATACTCAGACTTCTGTTGAGCGTAGAAAGATGTTGGCACATAAAATATCTATTAATGGTGAGACAGTTGACTTAGCGCATGACCAGATTAACATACATGACTTTGCTGAATTTGAAAAAACCGATCAGTTGATACCGGAATTCCGGTTCAGCATTAAAAGTAAATCTTCTACATCCATGATCCGACAGCAGAGATTACCCGAGGTTGAAGATGATGGAGTGTTTCAAGACGAGGCTCCGAAGAAAACCAAATCTTTTCAGGATATTGCCCGACAAGTGTATCTTATGGAGAACGCATTGTCTAAATGGCCTCGCAGACCTAAATCAAGGCATCACAGCTCTTCGTCCGAAGACTTGGCTGAAGATGACAAAAGTAGAGATGACGTAGACCCTGATGAAGTCTCTGTCCATACAGATATCTCTGAACTGTCTGACACAGAAAATGACACACAGGCTGAGAATAAAACTTTAACGAATACTAATTCAAACTCTCACAGTACTGATGATAGTGAACTGAGAAAACGGTCGGGTGTAGGAGCAAATCTGAGCAATGAAAATAAAAACGAGGAGTCTAGACTCAAAGATATACCTCAAAAAATTGATTTATCAGAAAGTCAAAACATATCAGTGCATGGGGGAGGTGTTGATTTGCATGAGCATGAATGTATTAAATCGAAAGACGCGCAAGCAAACGAGAGCAAAAATAAGGAGCGCAGCGGCCGCAAGAAAAGATGTCCAACTTGTGTTGTGCTATAGATTTTTGGTGTTGTTCAACCTTTATGTTGTAAACTCTTTGTGATGTGAGTTGGTTTTATTTTTATTTTTGGGGTTTATTTATTTATTTTTTGGGGTTTATTTATTTATTTTCTTTATTTTATTTTCTGCAATTTTGTTTTCTTTAGTTTTAAAAATAAAGTTACGTTGGGAGATGTTTAGAGGTTTTATTTTTTGCATGATTTTACATTATAACTTTATTTTATTGTGAAATATTTAAATATTGTAAATGAATGAGAGACATTTTGTGCATCAATTGCAATGAAACAGAAATACTTATTGGAAAGGTTATATTTGTCAAATATCATCCAATTTTCGATTAATAGTTTTTAACAGTCTTCTCACAGACATCTTCAGAAATACCGATGCATGACCAGAGTTTGCATGTTTAATTCACTGATCTTTGGTTTTGAAAGCAGAAATTAAAACTTGTATTGTGTCAACATTACTAATGATTTACTAATGATATTACCTTAAAATCGTGTAAAAAAAATTCTTAAGTTTATTATTGTTATATGCAAATGTTTTAAAATGAAAAGAAAGGAAAGAAAAAGTAATGCAGCTTTTGTATATTTCTCTAAAAAGATTCAAATTATGTTAAAAAGATCCAAATGTTTTTGATAGAAAATATAATTATAAATTAAATAGCCCTACATCGCAAAAGGTGCTTGTGAAAGGTCTTTGTTTTTATCCAAGTGGCTGTCTGCCTCAGTTATTACTATTTCTCAAACTTTGGTAGGGCAGGTGATACAGTTCTTACATGTCCAGAGTAATATTGAAGAGATAACTGTTTAAATATTTAAGATAATTAAATTATTATATTTTTGAAAGGCAGGCATACATATACACTTTGTAATATTTTTTGATTATATTTCATAGTATATATATATAAGTTACCATACAATAGATTTTATCATAGTCTATAAACAAAAGAAAATAACGCTAGCATCTGTTTTATTTTTCAGCAACCGTATCCTCCTCACCAGAATTGGCACAGTTGCCAATGGCAACAGAAGTTATTGTTCCTAGCACGCAAGTTAAAATATCTGAAGTTGACACTACGAAGTACATTCATATACGACAAAACGGCACTTCAGCTAGAGTGTTTCGAGAAACGTCTGTGTGACCTCCTATATATTCTAGTGTCAAGATTATTTATTAATGAAAATGAGAATTTTGTTGACCTATAGATTACGCCACTGATGAAAATACTCTGGAGAAGTGAGAAAAAAGAGGGGGAAAAAAGCCATCCATGTGTGTGCAAGTTTACTATGTGTATGTTTGTTTTAAAAGGGAGTGAAGACGAAGGCTAGAAGTTGGAATAGAGACTGAAATCAGGAGAAATTGAAATGTTATCCATGGAATTTAGAAAATTATTAGCAGAGCTTAGTTTGAATGTAGTTATAGTATAAGTATTGAGCAATGTCATGACACAAAGAATTTTTGCAAAAAACAATTAAATTTTAGTGGGTAGGTTTCTATAACGACAGCTACAGAACATTTGTTGTTATCTATAAATAACTTCTTTGAGCTATAAATAGTTTTTTTCAAGGGTGGTTGAGTTAGGTGTATTAGATGGGTTCATTTTTCTTTTGCAAGCCAGGAATATTCAAACTGCTGGTCCAGTTAGTGCTTATGTCACTGTAAAAATATCATACTCGTATCAAACCCCACTCACTTTATCTGACAGTTTCCTTAAGTGGCTAAATTTTGCATATTTGTATTTGATTTTTCTTATCAAAGATATTTTACTCTAAAAATTTAATTTGGAAATCAGAGTGTTCTTTTTCGTTGTATCAATCATTAATGGGGAATTGAAATCTGAATTTATAAAAGCAGCAACACAACAATTAACTTTTTAAAGTTTAAAAAAAAAACAACAAGATAAGTGACTGTTCAAATTAAGTTTGACATAGATGTTTATGCCAGTTATGCAAGTTGAGCATTTTTTGTATCCCTGAAAACTAAAGTTTATCGTGCAATTATCAGTATGTCAGTGACAATTTAAAGCAGAAATATGAAATTGTACTTCTTTATGTACAAACTGTTAAGGGACATAGTATTACAAATTCAGTCAAACTAGAGGGTTGGTTACTTAAATAACCAGGTTGTTTTTTCTACAAACCGTTAACTGCCAGATCCACAAGCGATCAGCATTTTGCACCACCATAATTCTAGTATCATGCAGTCAAATTTTTACAGTAAACAATGTCAAATTTGGATTAAGATACTATACTGTAAGCTTCTGAATAATGTTTGTAGCTATACTGTATGTTAACTATAAGAAGAAACTTTTGTCAATTAGTACACTGTCAATTCTAGGATTCGAAAAATGGTGGATTTTTATCGAAAAGTGAGAATTTATTACATTTGTTGATCTTTTTCTTTCTTTCTCTATGTAAAATTTTCCCCCTACCTCTGAAAAAATAGGGGGGAATTCTCAAAAATATGAGTGAATCTCCCCATCCCTCCTAGAATAGACACTGTTGTACAATGCCAAGTATAGAAGCATGATTATGATTGAGTTCTATTTAAAAAACCTATCCACAATGAAACTTATTGTGAAACATTGTTGATAATAAGTATGCAATATAAAGATGTCTACATTTGTGTTTTAAACTGTTGCAGCAAATTTGTTACTTCCTTGAATCTTGTGCCATGTTTATATAAAATCACTATAGTCATGGCTGTGATTAACGACGGGGGAAAAAAAAGCAAAACATACCGAACCCCACCCACCCTGCTTATGTATGGTGTACAAAAGGAGCCAATATATTGTCATCTTAAAAAGCAGTAATGGGATAAGTCTTATTAAAAATTAATAGGAGTTAATCTATTTCTGCACTATGATGAGAATATACAGGTTATCCATAAAAGAGTAAATATTTCTTGCAAGTACATTTGTCGCACATGTACAAGAATTTTCAATCTTGATTCAAAAGTTGCAGCACTTATCCCTTGTAATTTTTGTCATTATACAAATGTATATTTTGATGTTTAAAATGATTTTATTTTAACATTATGATGACATTGTAAAGGGTAATTAGCTAGTACATGTCATTTATTGTTTCTCCTCTATGTTATAATGTAGTAACTATGTACAGTTAGTATATCAAGCTCAAATCTGAAAAGAGATGTCATAACCTTTAATTAAGCCGCATCACAACAAATCCAACATAATGGGTTTGCGACCAGCATGGATCGAGACCAGCCTGCGCATCTGCGCAGTCTGATCAGGATCCATGCTGTTCGCTTACAGACCCTATAACATGTAGAGAAACTGATAGCGAACAGCATGGATCCTGATCAGACTGCGCGGATGCGCAGGCTTGGCTTATGTTGGTTTAGTCATGACGCGGCTCAATTAAGTTGACCATACATCCACATACTGTCAGGTTTACTCTTTTGTTTAGATTATAGAGAGTTATACCTGGATTATTGATGACATCATTATTTTTTACTCAGTATTTTCTTACTTTTCTATTTAAGGCATTGCTTTTCTACCTACAATGTTGTTTTTTTTTGCACAGATCAATCTCTAATCAAAAGTTTATAAATTGTCGTGACTCTAAATATGGTTCTTTTTATAGATCACTTTGCTAATTACCGGGAGAAGTTTATCAGCCTCCTATAAGTTTTACATATACATGTAGATATAAACCTATTGAATGCTTGGGGTATAAAAGCCAAATATTATTATGCACATTTGAAAAATAAATATTTGATATCTGTTTGGAAATAAATGAAATTGGTTGCATAAGATTGGTTGCAAGAGTAAACAAAACTCAGTTCTTATTAAGAATAAAATGATAACCACTCAAGAGTGTTAAAATACTGGGCCAAAGATTTTTTTGCAGTGTTTTGAACATTCTGTATCTTAATTTAATCTACCTCTTCTCTGAAGACATTATACTTACCATAAAGCAGCGTCTCCTCAAATTTCTGTCAGTTTCAGTTTATTAAAACTCTAAAAATGTGTTTTACTTAGTAAAAATGTTTTCCTATGTACAAAATGAATTATTTAGTTTTGCCTAATGCACTTACTACTGTATAACTTGACAAAATATGCAGGAATTTGTCTTACTCTGTTAGTAGCCATTAGATACAGGTTGACTGTTGGTAATCAAAACAATATATTCAGTCATATTTTATATAAAAAAAAACACCTTGCAAAGTCTGAAATATAAATACTTTTTTCTTATGCTTGATTTTTTTAAAAAGATTCTGTGTACTCATCTGGTGTTAGTCCAACTTACTGTGTATCCATCCATATCATATATATTCTTTATTTGTATAAGTATAAAATTAATGCTTTAACTCATATAAATTCAGGTTACTTCTCTTGAACTGTTTAATCAAGACTGATTGAGCTATAGAATTATTTCTGTGATGACTTTGTCTGAGGGTTATATTAATAATAATCAACATAATTGAGTTGCGCCATGACAAAACCAACATTGTGCGATGTGACCAGCATGGATCCAGAGTAGACCAGCCTGCCCAGGTATTCATGCTGTTCACTTACAAACTGTATAACAAGTAGAAAAAATGATAGCTTACAGCATGGATCCTGATCAGACTGTGCGGATGCGCAGGCTGGTCTGAATCCATGCTGGTCGCAAACCCACTATGTTGGTTTTGTCATGACGCAGTCATACACAATAAACCTGTAAAAATGTTAAAAAAAACTGTACATGTATCCTCTAGAGCTTTTGTACAATTTTCAGACCAAAGGTGCTGTAAAATTTAACCCAACCATGTACATGTGTTTGTCTGTTGATTATTGTAAGCATTACATATGGTATTTTATATTTGCATAAAGATATATACACTGTATTCAACTTCCCGTTTTTACCTGGACATAGGTTAAAAAAGTCAAATTTCACCATATTATATGTTTATACCTTACCATGTCAGATAAGATGATATTTTTGTGTGTCAACAATATAAATAGATTGATACAGATTATTTAAAACAAACTTCAGTTTTAGTGATGTTCATCTCCTATAATCTCCATGACACGCATTATTTTACCATGTTCTCTTTAACATAATTTGGCAAATAGTTTGACGGAGGTCAATGTTAAGGGGTTAGTGAGTGGGGGTTCAAATTTCAAGGAAACAAAATAGTTTTGAAAATTTATTATTCTCATTCCAGAATATATCTTCTATCCAAATTATAAACTAATAAAGCTCTTATTTCAATATTCAGTCTTTTTATCAGTCATCTTTTTTCTGTTCCTTTATGTTTTTTTTCAAACCATTTTGTTTTGTTTTATTGACTGTGAGACAATGTTTCTCCCATCTATGCATCTCTTTGACACATATTGGTACTCATAATTTTCAGGTGCAATACATTAATGATGTGCTGAAAGCTCTTTTTCTCCAGCTTTTTCTGTTCATTTTTTGCTCATCTGTTCTACATTGTATATTATTTTACAATATGTCTCTTTAAAAACACAAAAATCATCATATTTGTTCAAGTTTTCATGTTTATATATGAGCCGTGTCACGACAAAACCAACATAGTGCGTTTGCGACCAGCATGGATCCAGACCAGCCTGCGCGTCCGATCAGGATCCATGCTGTTCGCTATCACTTTCTCTACTTGTAATAGAGTTGGTAAGCGAACAGCATGGATCCTGATCAGACTGCGCAAATGCGCAGGCTGGTCTGGATCCTTGCTGGTCGCAAACCCATTATGTTGGTTTTGTTGTGACGCGGCTCATATAGTCTTTGCATTGGAAATGATATGTTGATTGTTTCCTACCATTTTTTGATAAAAATAAATGGTTATATTGTGTTCTGAGTAAAAAAAAGTGTTCTTTACTCATTATAGTAATGCTTTTGGTATATTTTTGTTTCTGAAACAAGTCATTAGGCATATTGAGTGTCCTCAGTGCATGTCTGTTCAGTCATGTTTTAGTGTTAACGAAAATTCCTTTACTTGTTGAAGACTTTTTTCCGAAGACTTCATCTATTAATATATTGAAGCATTAACGTACAAATTTGTCAGTATGTATTTGTGCTGACGCTTTTTGACAAGCTCGATCAAGTTTCTGTCAATATCTTTATATAAGCTTCTAATTTGTAATAGCTAAAAGTT